GAGCCCGCTCCGCTCCGCGTGGCCGGCGGCGCCGCCAGCCCAGTGAACGGGACGCGGCTCACGTAGCGCCCGGCAGCCCATGCGGCGAGCGGACCCCGGAAAACTGAGGGCTGCTGTGGGGCATCGCTGACGGCGCGGGCGGGCGGCGGGCCGCTGGGGCCGGGGGCCGGGGGGCACCAGCTGGACGGGACAGATGGAGAGGTCCGATGTGACCGCTGGAACCTCCTGCCCGGGGCCCGCGAGGTCTGTATGACTACAGAACTGAGGGCGCGGTCGGCCGACCACCTCAGCGCGCCGCGTGGCCGTCCTAGTAGCCCGATCACATGGGTCTCCGACTCAGTCTGGACGGCTGCCGACCAACTAGTACGTCCTCTTTGCCAACTGACTGGGTTCACGTGCCTTCATTACGGATGAAGATGATCTTCACCACATCGGTGTGCCATGTGCACTTTGGACATCTTTGCCCCGCGCCCCTTCCCTCCCAGGAAATGTAGCATTCCTATGTGCGGCGCGGTCGCTGCCGGCTGGTCGCTCTGTTTACATCAGTCCGAGACCAGGACGGTGGCACCCGGTGCAGACAGCGCTTAGTGGACAGCGCGGTGGCACTCAGTGAGGACAGCGCTCAGTGGACAGCGTTGGCACCGGGTGGGGACAGCACTCAGTTGGGGACTGAGCGCCGCCGCGGGACACGCGACGAGTCGGCCAGCGCTGATCAGCAACCAGCCGGGTCATCCGTCCGGGGGTTCGGCGGTGGCCGTGGTGCGCGGCTGAGCGTTCCGGCCGGCGGGCGCCGTGTCAGGGCGACCCCGCTGTCCGGCGGGTGCCCTCAGGGCTACCCCGCTGTCCGGCGGGTGCCCTCAGGGCTACCCCGCTGTCCGGCGGGTGCCGTCAGGGCTACCCCGCTGTCCGGCGGGTGCCGTCAGGGCTACCCCGCTGTCCGGCGGGTGTCGTCAGGGCTACCCCGCTGTCCGGCGCGCCGTCCTTGGTGTATTGCAGTACGCCAAGCTCCAGTACCTAACGCCTACTGCTCCCCAGGCCAGATACTTTTAAAGATGAAACTCTAAGACCGAAAGGAAGCGACAGTGATCGAGCCTACCTCTCCTGAGGCTCAGTGTAGTGCGCCAATGATAATAGCTCTGCGGTATCTGCGGTGTTAAGGTTGTCTTCGCGACGAGCCGACATTTGCATTCCTGTGTGGACTGGACTGGAAGCTACACAGTGTTCCCCGGCACTCGGATCTGTTCTCCGTGACGAGTGACCTCAGTCAGTGGCGAGTGACCTCAGTCAGTGGCTGGCGATGACATCCAGCCTCTCCGGCCGATTGGGGTCGTGTCGGCCAGGGGAGTCGTGCTGAGGACGAGCGGCGTGCGTGGTGTGCCTATATGGACGCCAAAGGTTCGGGGGTAGTGGTGCCCTGTGGACGCCCCCGGTAGCGGTGCGCTGTGGAGGACGCCCGCGCGATTCAGCGGTACGCTGTGGAGGACGCCCCCGGTTCAGCGGTGCGCTGTGGAGGACGCCCCCGGTTCAGCGGTGCGCTGTGGAGGACGCCCCCGGTTCAGCGGTGCGCTGTGGAGGACGCCCCCGGTTCAGCGGTGCGCTGTGGAGAACGCCCCCGGTAGCAATACGCTGTGGAGGACGCCCCCGGCTCAGCGGTGCGCTGTGGACGCTGCGCCGCTCTGCCGGTGCCGGACTGCGCTGTGATGGGGCCGCCGCCTCGACCGCTGCTGTACGGAGCGACCCTCGGGCTGGAGGTGGCCGGTCCTGCTGAGGATGGACCTCTGACGCCGCAGAGATCCCGCGCTGTCCGGCACACCCCGAATCACCTGAATGTCACCAAGGCCTGGCGTAAGCATGTGACTTCTTTTACCTGCCCACCTTAAAAGAGTTTGTAACATAGAAATTTCGTTTTGTGGTAATCATGAACATTGAAGAATCAGGCACTTGATTAATATGTAATACTAGCATTCAAATGAAATATGATACCTCTCTTATCATAGGCGGCGGAACGTGGGAGGCACTGGGGCACCGTGCCCCCCTTTGATTTGGGCATTTTAACATTAGCCCTATGGGCGTTGCATGGAAAGAATGGGACCAAAAGTCGGCAGTGCCCCCCCCCCCTTAATTGAAGGTGTTCCGCCGCCACTGTCTTTTATTGTGCACTGCAAAACAAGAATATAACACACAAATTATATGGCTCCGATTTTGATGTGTGTCCATTGCGTCTCCGTGTTTAGTTTAACCCTCGCCGGCCGAGGGGGGGGGGGGCGGGTGCCGCCCCCCATAGGGTTTTTTCGCGATAGCTCCGAACACGCTGGCGATAGAGAGCTGAAACTTGGCATACCTGACCTTTGATTCAAGCCGCATCTTTTGACACCAACCGCATTTTTGGGTCAGGTCAGGTCACTGACCTATGACGTCATAGGTGAACCTCTGCACGGTCTTCAGATGTCGCAACTTCGCAACGCCCTCACTGCCAGAGGAGATGTCACAGGGAAATGAAACTTGCAGGATCTAGTATCCATTATGAGTCTCACAACTTGTATATCTCGGATTTTTCCTAAAGGTCATATGAGGTCAGGTCATTTTCGTGACCTCACCATTATAAGTCAATGGGGAAAAATGAAAACTGCTATTCTGGCGCCGGGAAGGATCTCCAACTATCTCAAGCACACAGAATCGTGATTTGATGCACTCCTTGCAAGGTTACATGCGTCACTTTTGCAATGTTGACCTTTCGTGACGTCATTTATGACGTCATCAAGGTCATATTAGTTTTTCGTCAATAACTCTTGATCAAATTAAGCTAGCGAGTCGGGGAAGCCACCAATGGACTCAGGAAGACCTGCCGAATCGAATGATATGCGACATGACCCCTTTCGACCAACTTCGTGACTTTGGGGTGCTGACCTGACCTTGACCTGAGGTCAACACCCCAAGTTGACCTGACCCGAACAAAAAGTATATCATTCGACGCACCTGAGCGAGGCGAACACGATGCTGCCAACATCGCGGCTCTGCGGACGTTTTTTGCGAAGTTATTCACCAAAAACTGAACCGTACCTTGGGGCACTTGACCTGACCTCAGAGGTCACCGGTTGACCTAGGACCTTAAAATCGGGTACCAATCTCTGCGTCTCGTAACGGCGCACACGCTCGTTTTTTCCGCGACGCGCTATCTCCACCAGGGGCGAAACGGCGAGGGGGGGGGGGGGTCGTACCCGCCCCCCCCCCTCGGCCGGCGCGTATGTAGAAAACCAATAGGTCCGGCGAGGGTTAACCCCAATTATCCATACTTTTTATCTGAATTGTAGGACTCTTGTCGTCTCGTAAATTCACGTGGCTTGTTTGGTCACTGCCATCTCCAGGTTCAAGTCAATGTGGATAAAGCTAGCATGCGCTAATAGGTCCGAATGTCACCGGACGGATCGCGCCCTGTGACCCGTCTGTATCCGGCGGACACTGGCTGGATCCGCTCCCCGGACCCCACGGGATGTGTCCGGTGACCCGCCGAGCGCGGAGCGAGTGCGCGGCTGTTTGCTTACACACTGTTTGTATGTAGTTACGTTTGTGCGCCATGGTGACCGTTTGATGAGTGACAGGAGGCCGGCATTTTAAAGGTAGTGTGCCACCTTTGAAAGATTTCCCATTTTATTTTTCCTAGGATAAGAAGCTTCTGTTTTTACCTAATATCGCAAAAAAATCAAAAATGGGCCTGGAATAGTGCCTTTTTCGCCTAAAAGTTTATCGGTTTTTAGATATGTATAACAACTGTAGTGGGCTCACCTGCAAACAGGCGTCGGGCAACAATCGCGAATGCGGCGCACTTGTGACAATAAGCAAAGGTCATTATAGTGTTACGACCATACGACGTACGGGAATGAGTTATCAGCTGTCTAATCGTAGACAACACAATGTCGAGCCTTAAACTGTAAGCCCGTATTGGTATTGTTTCTTTTATTTGGCTGTCGAATATTATTTATGGTTTGAAATATGATTTTATGTAAAATAATTGATATGAAAAAGCCGTCTTATAAGTTATGACCCCATTTCACCACACGTAAGTGGCAGAAATGACAATGATCAGCTGACGCATTTTTCATGGCCGAAGTCAGAGCGCGCGGCCCGACGCACCACGCGTATTTGGAAATTCCGACCTCGACGAGCATCAGAAGCCAACTAACAGGCGTGTTCGAAACCGCAGGAGCTGATGATGAACGGGTTTATCGAAACTTGATTGGATGAGCATATCGGTAATAGCGATTTCAGTGTGTGCATTTATTGTTCATAGTGGTGTGAAATGTGGTTGGGGTACGACCGACAACCCGTCGGGGCGAATTTCGCACTGGGGTACTCAAAATTTGAAGAATTTAAGACGTTTCCATGAGTTTTGAAGGTATGGATAAGTTCTAAAAATCCGGTTCTCCTTATCTGGGCCATTAACTCCATACGGTCCAAGAAAGTTGGCACACTACCTTTAACCTCAGCAGCAGCCAGGGGCGCGCGACCGTCGGCAACCGCCGCCCAAGGCCGTATAAGAGCCGCCCGCCGGCGCAATGTGTACCGACGGCGGCGCGCAGGGAACCGCTGGAAATAGTTGTGCGCCTGTGTTTATCGCCGAGCTGTTGGCGGCGACCGTGTGCCGTACTCACTCCGGTCGACCGTGTGCCGTACTCACTCCGGTCGACCGTGTGCCGTACTCCCTCCGGTCGACCGTGTGCCGTACTCACTCCGGTCGAGTGGTTCTGTTGTGGCTGTGTAATGCGTACCCGCTCCGAGGTCAGTGCTTTCCCAGAGTACCAGCACATATCGCGCCAGGTTTCTGTGGTGCAAACGACATAGCAATGCTACCTGTGGACACTCGGAGCAGGCGTGGCAGCCAGTGGCACAGTGCAGCTCACTGACTTTTTCTGTGCACCAGCTGCCGACATACCTGTCACGTGACCGTGTCCCACCCCGCCCTGTTCTGTCACGTGACCAGTCTGTGACGTGTTCGCCCTCAGACGAGATGCTGGAGGCGGAGGAGTCGGCGCTGCCACTGCGCGTCTATGACCTGGAGAAGCTGGTGCGCGACCAGCAGGACGAAATCACCTTCCTCAAATCGACCGTGGCCGACCTGCAGCGCCGCCTCAACCTGGTGGATGGCTCCAGAGGTCAGTGGGGTCAGGGATGACTCCAGAGGTCAGTGGGGTCAGGGACGGCTCCAGAGGTCAGTGGGGTCAGGGTCAGTGGGGTCAGGGACGGTTCCAGAGGTCAGTGGGGTCAGGGTCAGTGGGGTCAGGGACGGCTCCAGTGGTCAGTGGGGTCAGGGTCAGTGGGGTCAGGGTCAGTGGGGTCAGGGACGGTTCCAGAGGTCAGTGGGGTCAGGGTCAGTGGGGTCAATGGACGGCTCCAGAGGTCAGTGGGGTCAGGGACGGCTCCAGAGGTCAGTGGGGTCAGGGTCAGTAGGGTCAGGGACGGCTCCAGAGGTCAGTGGGGTCAGGGACGGCTCCAGAGGTCAGTGGGGTCAGGGACGGCTCCAGAGGTCAGTGGGGTCAGGGTCAGTAGGGTCAGGGACGGCTCCAGAGGTCAGTGGGGTCAGGGACGGCTCCAGAGGTCAGTGGGGTCAGGGACAGTGGGGTCAGTGGACGGCTCCAGAGGTCAGTGGGGTCAGGGTCAGTGGGGTCAGGGACGGCTCCAGTGGTCAGTGGGGTCAGTGGACGGCTCCAGAGGTCAGTGGGGTCAGGGTCAGTGGGGTCAGGGACGGCTCCAGTGGTCAGTGGGGTCAGGGTCAGTGGGGTCAGGGACGGCTCCAGTGGTCAGTGGGGTCAGGGTCAGTGGGGTCAGGGACGGCTCCAGTGGTCAGTGGGGTCAATGGACGGCTCCAGAGGTCAGTGGGGTCAGGGTCAGTGGGGTCAGGGACGGCTCCAGAGGTCAGTGGGGTCAGGGTCAGTGGGGTCAGGGACGGTTCCAGAGGTCAGTGGGGTCAGGGTCAGTGGGGTCAGGGACGGCTCCAGTGGTCAGTGGGGTCAATGGACGGCTCCAGAGGTCAGTGGGGTCAGGGTCAGTGGGGTCAGGGACGGCTCCAGAGGTCAGTGGGGTCAGGGTCAGTGGGGTCAGGGACGGCTCCAGAGGTCAGTGGGGTCAGGGACGGCTCCAGAGGTCAGTGGGGTCAGGGTCAGTGGGGTCAGGGACGGTTCCAGAGGTCAGTGGGGTCAGGGACGGCTCCAGTGGTCAGTGGGGTCAATGGACGGCTCCAGAGGTCAGTGGGGTCAGGGTCAGTGGGGCCAGGGACGGCTCCAGAGGTCAGTGGGGTCAGGGTCAGTGGGGTCAGGGACGGTTCCAGAGGTCAGTGGGGTCAGGGACGGCTCCAGTGGTCAGTGGGGTCAATGGACGGCTCCAGAGGTCAGTGGGGTCAGGGTCAGTGGGGCCAGGGACGGCTCCAGAGGTCAGTGGGGTCAGGGTCAGTGGGGTCAGGGACGGCTCCAGAGGTCAGTGGGGTCAGGGTCAGGGGGGCCAGGGACGGTTCCAGAGGTCAGTGGGGTCAGGGTCAGTGGGGTCAGGGACGGCTCCAGTGGTCAGTGGGGTCAATGGACGGCTCCAGAGGTCAGTGGGGTCAGGGTCAGTGGGGTCAGGGACGGCTCCAGAGGTCAGTGGGGTCAGGGACGGCTCCAGAGGTCAGTGGGGTCAGGGTCAGTGGGGTCAGGGACGGTTCCAGAGGTCAGTGGGGTCAGGGTCAGTGGGGTCAGGGACGGCTCCAGTGGTCAGTGGGGTCAATGGACGGCTCCAGAGGTCAGTGGGGTCAGGGTCAGTGGGGTCAGGGACGGCTCCAGAGGTCAGTGGGGTCAGGGACGGCTCCAGAGGTCAGTGGGGTCAGGGTCAGTGGGATCAGGGACGGTTCCAGAGGTTAGTGGGGTCAGGGACGGTTCCAGAGGTCAGTGGGGTCAGGGTCAGTGGGGTCAGGGACGGCTCCAGAGGTCAGTGGGGTCAGGGACGGCTCCAGAGGTCAGTGTGGTCAGGGTCAGTGGGGTCAGGGACGGCTCCAAGTCCAGAGGTCAGTGGGGTCAGGGTTAGTGGGCGGCTCCAGAGGTGGTAGTGGGGTCAGGGACGGCTCCAGAGGTCAGTGGGATCAGGGTCAGTGGGGTCAGGGTCAGTGTGGTCAGTATCCCCCCTTTCTGAACGGAACATAGGATACGTGTTTGATCGAATTTGACAGCAAAGAGGAAAACAATCTACGTTTTATTCGAAAGGTGGGAGCCTTGCTAAAAGAACTGTTGAATTTCATCTGTCTCCAAAAGGATGACATGGACCAAATAGGTGCCCACTGCGCAATGTTCCGTCCTGAAAAGCACTGTGAGCCGAGTATAGTGCGGAAGCCTGCGTGGAAGTAGCTTAGTCGTCGGGCAATTGTTTAATTAACACCGGCCGAATGAGGAGTGGCCATATGACAGAGGCTCGTGTATACGGTACAGTAGCCCAGTTCTGGCTTCTTTGGCCTTCTCTATTTACTAAATGAATGAGTGTCGTTTTATTATGACCCATGCACACCTGCACGTCTACCAAACAGCACGTCCCCTTTTGCGCGTGCGTGCATGTGCCCTAACCGGTCCCCCACACTCCTCCGTCGCCTGTGGAGCTGAGGACCGCGCATCTGGAGCCGTGCCGCGGTGCCCCGTCAGAGGAGGTGCTGGTAAAGTCGGCGGTCACTGCGGTGTCTGAATGTGTCCCGGGCGGGCTGCTCTCCCGTTACGGCGAGACCCTGGACGAGCGACCCTGACCGCCGCCGCGCCGCGCCGGTCCACATCGGGACATCGGAGGCCGCGCATAATTCTGAACAATCAATAACAATAAATGCTGACATTCTGACAGGCCTCTTAGCCCGCGCATGACTGGGGTATTTTCCATAACGCGAGTGACTGGGGGGGGGGGGCTCTCCAGAGCCCCCCCTCCTATACCCGAAACTACTGGGCCGATCGTCAAAATTCAAACGGCGTCTGATAGCCCTGCAAAAACTGTCGAGCGAAACCTATTTTCATTGACCTCGAGGTCACCGATGACGTCACAGGTCAGGTCAAAGTAAAAATTATCGACATTTTTGTTAGTTCACAATTTAGGCTCTGACCGCCGGACCGCCTGTCTGATCAGGCTCATTTTTGGTTTACGCACTCCTTGACGGATGCCTTAGATACCCTGAGAGTACCGAACTTTTACTTTGAATTTTTAAGGTCAAGACCAGGTCATCCTAGGTCACGAAAATTGTATATCATGTATCGGTCACGTGACGCATGTTTTATGGTCCATTTTACTCGTAGATTTCGAAAATAGTGTCGTCTGTGTCATTTAAGGTCATTGTCAGCTGAATTTACCGGAGGTCAGGTCACTTTCAGGTCAGAAAAGGTCAAATTTTGAAAATGATTTTTTTCCACAAAAAAGGTGCCTATCAGATGCAGTTTGAGCTCAGGAACACGATGGTGCCATTTATATTGCTGTACGACGTCAAAAACATACTGAAAAATGGATTAAAAAACATAAAATTGTAAAATTTTGACAATAATGCGAATAACTTAGCTATTTTTGAAGATATTGGGCTAAAACTTGCAAATCTAGTTAATCAGTGTGTGTTCTATCACATACATTCCGGTTTTTGCGAAAAGTCGAAAACTTTTTGAAAAAAATCAAAAAATATATTTTTTTGTAATTGTAAAGAAATGTTTTTCAAAATTTTCAAAATTTCGAAAATTCGAGATAACAGTTCGATAGCTACGTGTATTTGTAGTCCACTCATGCAAAGAAAACGGATCTAGCTTTAAAATTGAGCTCTTGAGAGCGTTTGCCATATTTCAGTATTTTGCATGAAAATCGGCCGACATGACGTCACTCTGACGTCATTTCCGGCTAAACTGTGGTAGCTAGAAAGTTGAAATTTTAAGACAATGTGTCAAATTGATGCCTCTGAGGGTACCGCAAGTTTCGTGTTAATCCGTCAAACGGTTTAGAAGATATTGCTGAAAAACATGAGGGGTGGCTCTGTAGAGCCCCCCCCCAGTCATGCGCGGGTTAACATTGTTCCGGAATATCCACAGTCTTTCCTCCTTTCCCTCTCCCCCCTTCCGCTCATTCCGCCTCTCTCCCCTCCCTCTCCCATTCTCTCTTTTTCCCCGTATACTCTAACAGCTCTGCCCGTTCGTGTATGTGTTGTCGTGCCGGAGCTGTGCGTTGTGACACCGCCGTTCCTCTGCCGACAGCGGTCAGTAAGCTGACCACGGGCCAGGGCCCGCTCCGGGCGTCCCCGCAGCGGCCCATCAGCGGGCACAGCAGCTACGGCGGCCAGGACCGACTGGACGCGGCCCGGCGACGGACCGCCAACGGTCTGCAGAGGTCAGTGCGGGCCACCAGCGGAGGGGCAGCGCCTAACGGCCCCGCCGGGCACCAGCGGAGGGGCAGCGCCTAACGGCCCTCACCCGGTCACCGGGGACGGCCCGCGCCCGGTCACCGGCGGAGGGGCAGCCCGTGACGGCCCGCGCACGGGCACCGGCGGAGGAGCAGCCCGTGACGGCCCCGCCCGGTCACCGACGGAGGGGCAGCGCCCAACGGCCCCGCCGGGCACCGGCGGAGGGGGGGGGCAGCCCGTGACGGCCCCGCCCGGTCACCAGCGGAGGGGCAGCCCGTGACGGCCCCGCCGGGCACCGACAGTCGAGGGGTTCTGATCGTCATCGCGCGCCCCAAGCGCATTGTGTATTGTGTTTTCATGTCTTGGTGACGTCCACAGCCAGCTTTCCATTACGAACTCGGCTGGAGCGCTGTGCCGGTACCTGCTTCGTCGGACAGCAGCAGCCGCACCGCGCCCCAGACGCGCCGCTGCCAGAGCAGCTGCAGTTCCATGCGGTACCTACCCGTGCAGCGCCCCGGGTGTGTCCTGTCCCGTCCTGTAAGACTTCCCGCCCGGCCGGCACCTGGCTCAAATGACTGTGAAGCCGTGCTAGTGCTGATTGATGGTGTTTGTTTCTGATGAACTGGTGCAGATGGTCCACCCGGCAGATGTTGGGCTGCGCGTAACTTGTCAGACTGACTGTCTGCACCTGTCAGACTGGCCGCCTATGCCGGTCAGACTGAAGTCTGTACCGGTCAGACTGAAGTCTGTACCTGTCAGACTGAAGTCTGCACATGTCAGACTGGCCGCTTATGCCGGTCAGACTGAAGTCTGTACCTGTCAGACTGGAGTCTGCACCTGTCAGACTGAAGACTGCACCTGTCAGACTGGCCGTCTGGGCGGTCGGTTTTGAGTGGCGCTCGGCCCAGGCCGCGCGGTTCCTCCAAACTGGCTCTGTCCGTCCTGTCTCGGGGTCTGTGCGGCGGGCACATGTCGACTGTCGGAGTCTCCCCGGCTGACCCAGACTGAGACGCCCTGACCACGACGGTCTGGTGTGCGCCGTAAACGGCTGACCTATAAACGGCCGGCGATTACAGCTCACTGTCTGCTGCCGCCCGCTCCGGTCGACCTCCCCGCCAGGGCGGCGAGCTGACCTTGGGGAAGGTGGGGGAGTGGGGAGGGCTGGGGAGGCACCGACACGCCGCTCCACCGCCGCACCGTGGGGACTTATGCCATCCTAGCACGCATTAAGTGGCAAGTTAAAGTATTTCGATTTCCACTTTTTTGTTATTCATTCCACGTAGAATTGTCCAGCGCATCCGAATCACACCTTAAATCGTCTGTAAAATGATTGTTTATGCCTAAAAAAAACCTCTCAAAGTGTAGCTTCGTCCTGACCAGCGTCGTGCTACCTGCATACAGCGAAAAAGCACACTACAATAAAACGCCCTCTCAATCGTTTCCCTGAACAGCAGGTTATAGTTGCGACATGTTTTCATTATCTTTGACTTATAAGGAAGATGATGGTATGCACGAAAATTTCCAAAATTCATCCAAATGTATAATTTTTGACCGAAATGCTAAAAATGTTAAAATGCTTCTTGATTCAGAGAGTTGACAAGCAAACTATTGCCTTACAAAGTTTGATACGCGTTGTTACGCGTGGAAATGTATATCAAAATGTTCTCCAATAATTACTGCATCGGGGGCAGCTCTCATTTTTTTGCCGAAATTTGCCTAAACCAGTCACTATGAGACGTCAAAGCAGACGGTGCCGCGTGGTTTCTTACGCCCCGCCGGGCCGCGCCGCGGCGGGTTACCCGACCGCAGCACACCGCCTGGGGGTTTCCGGTCAGTATAGGAGTTGGGAGGAGGGAGGAAGGGGGTGATACCATGTTGACATTATTTTTCTATCGCCAAATGTTCTTTTTGAACAAAACAACAACACCCTTGCAACGCTGCGTCCATTTTATTGGCTATCGCCACCAATGTTCACCTTATTGAACTTCAGTACAGAGCTTTGATGTAGGTAAATCGAAAAATGCTGTAACTTTGTAAAGTGAGGTTGGAGGTTTTTGGGGTGCTAATCACGAATTTCAAGCTAGTTTTGATCAAGGATGATGTTTTCATGCTAGGCCGGGTCAGGTCAGGCCCGACCAGTAGGTGTCTTGCCGGCTATCCATAGAAGGTAGGCGTCGATTACCGTTGACGGCTTCGTAGCATGTTCCGTTAGGCACCAAAACTACCTACTTAAATCTTCAAATGGGTGTTAAGTTCGAAATAAGCTCCAAGCACTTATCTAGAAAAATCGTATAACTTGAAAAAAGTCAACTAAGGTCATCTAAGGTAAATGACCTTGATTTGACTTTAACGTGACCTTAAAATGCAAAGAACAAACAGCATTTCATACCTTGGAGAGTTAACAACCACAACAAGACTGAAAACGCGCCGATAATGTGCGCTGATAAGCGCCAAATCGATAACAGCCTGACATGGTCTGGTGAAACAGGTCACAGGTCAAATTTTTATTAAGGTCAAGGTCATGAAATTTTAAGTGTGTGAGTAACATTGATCGAATCGAAGGTATAGAAAGTTTCGTCGTGATCCTCCACGTTTTGCTTGAGCTAGTATGCGAAAAGTCGAGGACAGAAGTCTGTGCGACCCCCTCCCCCTTTAAGTGCAAGGACTAACAAAGTGCAAAGGTTAAGCCCGAAATGCCTTTTTGGTGATTGGGCTAGACATGAACAAATATCTACTTCTAAAACGATTGTAGTTTCGTTCTACTTTTTTAACGCTTCCACGCCCACGATGCATTGCTAGCCGAAAACGCTTCAGTGCTAAGTCCGTGGGGAGGGGGCGGGGGAGGGATGGGGTCAAGCAGGAGAGCCAACCATGTTGTCAGGGATCATACACCCTAAGCCTAACCATTTAAAGGTGAAATAAAATTAGTTAAGGTAGCGGAGGATGCGATATAAATAAATTCGTGCTAGGATCGATAAAAACCCCACAGTGCGCCGCTGGACCCGAGAGTGTCCAGGACCCGTGCCACCCGAGTGTCCAGGACCCGTGGACCTCACTGTACGCGTGCCGTGTCGGGCCGGGGACAGACTGTACCCGAGACGGGTGCTCGCAGGAGGCGCGGCGTCCTGCAGGCGCGCTGGCCCGTGACGTGCCCGTGACGCAGCAGCCGGAAGACCGGCGGTGCCGTGACGGCGGCCGTGACGCCGGCGGAGGGTGCCGCGGCCGGCCAAGCAGCGTCTTGACGAGGATCACACATTTTGCGTGTTTCTGAACAGCGGTTAGTTTCTCCGTTAACTTTGACGGCAATAATGGAAGAAGCAAACTTTTTAGGGCCTCATTTAAAAGCTAGGTATGACGTCCTGCGTTCCCGGATTTTGGGAAGCCCTCAGCGGTGAGCAGTCAGTACCGCCTCCTGTGCTCGCCGGTTCAGCTGTCTCCGTCGTGTTCCGGGAATATCACGGGGACAGGGAAGTCTGGCCGCCGGACGGTGAGACGACGGCCTTATGGCGCATGTTCGAGGACGGTCGCAGTCGATCAGCGTGATCGATTAGAGATGTGGAACTTTAAACATCGAGTGAAACTATGCGGCAAAGTTAGAATGGTGCGGCGGACGAGCGTTTAATGTTCTCTGCATAACCTATACCGTTCGAGGAAGGTCGCTGCCCGACTTTGCGGTCTGTGTGTTTTTAGTCGCGGGGACCGTTCGGTCAAAGGCTGGCTCCGTGACGGCGCGGTGTGGCGTGTCCCCAGGCGGCCGCACCACTACCAGTCGACGGGCTCTCTGCACTCGGACGGCCACAGCAGCACCAGCGGCTCCCCCGTCACCTCGCCGAGCCCGACGTACGGCCGCGCCCAGCGCCGCCCGATCGCCGCGCCGGCCAGCCTCACCAAGCGCTGGAGCTCGACGTCCGACTTCCAGGCGCGCCGCTCACCGGGCCCCAGTCCCGGCCCGGGCGGCGGCCCCTCCCCGGCGGTCAGGTGAGCGACCCCCGGCCTCGGCCCCGGCCCCAGTCCCGGCCCGGCCCGGGCGGCGGCCCCTCCCCGACGGTCAGGTGAGCGACCCGGAGCGACCCCCGGGCCCGGCCCCCTCCCCGGCCCCCGGCCCCGGCACCCCTCCCCTGCGGTCAGGTGAACGTCCAGGAGCGACCCCCGGCCCCGGCCCGGGCGGTCAGGTGAGCGACCGGCGCGCCGGGGGGGGGGGGGGGGGGGCGGTGGCACTCACTGCACACTGCACAATAGGCGCACGGTATATGGCCCGAGAGACGTGCTGTAGGAGAGTGAAGTTCGAGCTGGTGCCGTGATTGGGCATGTATGTACGGTTAGAGGAGCGTGCCACGCTTCGTGGGAGGGTGCATGTGCTGATTGGTCACATGGGGCACCTGAACTGCATAGACTGCACTTGGTGATAGGTCTCCCTGAGTTGGCGTCATGGCGAGGGGATGGCGCTCTGTCACTATTACCTTCACTCAGCTGTTCTGTTTTCGTCGCCCCGCACTGTCTGGCCGTCGGCTATCACACTCCCGCCTTGCCTTCACGACGGCGCCAGCGTGATGAACTGCCTTCTGTCGTCTGTCACTAGGGCGTCCCCCTGCCTTGTGCGGCTGCGGCAGCGTGCACTTTCCCCCTGGTGTCGGCACCCTCCCCGGCCCGGCGCACGGAGGACCCCCTCTGAGCCGCCCGTCCCCCCGTCCCCCCTGTAGCATGCGCCGGAAGGCCGGTCGGCCGCGCGGCCGGCGGCCCGAGTCGTACGCCGGCCACAGCAATACCCTGCTCGAAGAGCCTCTAGAGCTGTGGCGCGGCCTCGGAGACCAGGACGCCACGCCTGTGATACGGTACTGAGACTAACCTTTAGTTCACCCAGCCGCCGCCAGGGCAGAACGAAAACAGACCAACTTTTGCTAGTCCGTCGTTTAAATATGATAAGCCCGCAGTTTGCGCTTGTCACGCCTTTTATGGTCAAGTTTCATTAGGATTAATGATACCTCGTGTCTTTAAAAAAAAAAAAAAATGCTGGAATTATTTATTCGAATTTGTAATTCTATCCATAGTATTTATCATTTCTGAAGGGCTCATAATGACAATTGTCCTTAATAAGCGAAAACGATCACTTTATTGATCGGAACCCTTGTTCTAAATTAATGGACCCAACTGTAAATATATCGTAGTATGTATGAAGCACCTGTCTCACACCCCGCTGCCGCCCCCGCCACCGCTGCCGCCCCCGCCACCGCTGCCGCCATCGGCCCACATCCACCGCTGCCGTCATCGCCACCGTCACCGCCACCCCTGCCGTCACCGCCACGTCCACCGCTGCCGTCATCGTCACCCTCACCGCCACCCCTGCCGTCACCGCCACCGCTGACTGTCGGCTGTCGCCCCCGGCTCGCAGCAGGCCAATCGGAGGGTCGCTCACCAACCTGAGCCGCACGGCGGCCCTGCCTCGCCACGGGTGAGTACAGCGGCTCACTGGTCCACCTGCCCGGCACGGGTGAGTACAGCGGCTCACTGGTCCACCTGCCCGCCACGGGTGAGTACAGCGGCTCACTGGTCCACCCGCCCGGCACGGGTGAGTATAGGGCTGTTAAGTGTGACGTCACGGTTCCAACAGCTGACTGCGCTAATGCTGTAGAGATAGGGGATTATCTAGAAAGGTGTATTGTGGCGATTCAAAAATTGTCCGACCCTGATTTGGAATTTCTTTGGAAACTTAGATGGATGAATAACATTTCTGAAATTGATTTGCTTCAAGTTTCATCGAAATTTGGCTGAAAAAGCCCAAAGAAATGTGAGGCTACTAAATTCACAATGGTGTTAGCATTTGTGGCGCATATGTGACATTTGGTGAAAACCACGTGAAAACAATAGTACGTTACGGACATTTGCACGTTTCTGGGCTGCAGGCTGTGTTTGACGTGTTTGGGCATGGTGTGAGCTATCATGGCCTTCGTTAGTGTTGCAGCCATAGGTGATTTTTTTTCAAACTATGTCCAGTGTGATTGAGAAGGGTGAAAGAGCATTGGATGGTGGCAAAATCCGATCCATTGCCCTGCAGGATGGCAAATACATTGTGGCTTCTGTTGAGGCCAGCATGAAGAAAAGGACCTATGATGTTCAAGTGAGTATTTCTTCATGCTTGTGATAGGCATTTCAAGTACTTTATGAAATCTGCCTTCATGAAATCGTGGCATGAATGTGGGAACAAAATTGCAATTGCAATTGAGAATGAGGTGAATGTGGCAAAAGTATTGAGTGAACATGACCAAATAAAAGAAACATTTCATTATATATTTTCATTCGAGTCTACATAGGTACTCCATAGTTCTTTATATTATCCCCATGTGACAGGCATCTTGCATTATTTTACCTTAGCAAAAGCTGAATAGGAAAAATGAGATGCCACGGTAGCAGACGTAGCACGAGCTGCCATATGCCCCAGAATGCATTTTGCTAACCAAATCAAAACACCTAACCAAAGATACGTAACCTGACCTACAATCTACTTCCTACAACCTACAACCTTGAACCTACCACCTTCAACCTATGATATCTCACATGGCAGCTCGTGCTATGTCTGCCCTACCAGTACCGAGGCCACTTGGTATTGTTTGTGGAGGACCTGACCTCCTCCAGCCCGGAGTGTAGTTGATGTTAGCTTGGTTTTAAATTTAAGTGTATAGTAAAATGATAGATCAATTGATCTACGTAGCAAGTGTGCGGCAGACTTGTGTGGCATCCTGTGCAACCATGGACATTTAGTGGAATTAAATGGATAGGAGGGTTTATAAGTTGAAATGGAAATGGCAATTTGGTTTAGGCGATGTATCTAATCTTCAGTCTCACTTCATTCAAGATCACTCAAAGAAATTTGCTTTCAAATTTCAGTTATTTTTGTTTACTTTTATTAAAGCATCCCCAGATATACAGCATATACTTTTAAAAAGCAACCCCTTTTTGCTAAAATCTAACATCAAGTCATTGTCCAAAACATTTATGTTTTGTAATATCAACTATGATTATAATGCATATTTGGAAGGTTCTATGAATATAAACAGCTGCAATCAATTGTGCTCATTTTGTGAACTTATTTTCATGATAAACATTTCACTTGAGTGAAACGTCCACTTTGATATTAATTGAATATGGTTTGAACTAATGTGTTAGAAAAATATCATGCAGGTATTTAATAAAAATCTGAATAAGGCTTGCTGATTACCTGCTGCAAAGGTGTAAATTGTTGTTATTCTGTGTTTCAGGTCACTGTCGAGAACAAGAAGCCAGTGGATGGAAGCTGCACATGCCCAAATGGTCAGCATCGGTGCTCCCACATGGCTGCCATCCTTCTGTATGCACAGAAGAACTGGTCGCAGACTGATCGGCAGTGTCAATGGAACCGAGGATCCAGCAACGCGACAATGTTGAAAGCAAAGGAGATGTTCCCCCAGGAAGACAGTTCTTTGCTGGTGAGCTCTGTCAAAGAGGACCAACTGGCATGGCTGTATGACCAGGTGAGGGAGCAGCCATGTGGGCTGGCATGGCTGTTGGCTCCAGAGTCTCAGCCTTCCCCAGAAGAGAAGGTACCAAACATCGACAGCATCCTAACTAGTGCTGAGTTTCATGCATCAGCTGACAAGTCCCACTTCCTTTTAGCAATGCTGTCTCTTTCAAAGGAAGAGATTGCAGAGGTGCAGAGGGTGACCAGTGGTCAGGTCAAAAACCCCAAGTGGTTTGTTGCTAGAAAGGGAAGGCTGACATCGAGCAACTTCGGCCTCGTCTTGAAGGCAATTGCCAGAGGAAGATACCCAAAGTCACTATTCAAAAGGCTCCTTGGTGGCTATGACCCATCCGGCAGTGCAGCTGTAAAATGGGGACGAACCCACGAAGCAGCTGCAAAGCGAGCGTATGAAAATCGCACTGGAAAAAAGGTGGAAGAGAATGGGATTTTTCTCTCTGAAGATGGTATGCTTGGGGCCTCTCCAGATGGTGTAGTGGGGGATACACTCCTAGAGGTGAAGTGTCCGTGGACACACAGGTGTCGAACGATCCAGGAAGCCGTGCAAGCAGATGGAAAGTTTTTCTTGGACGAAAACCTGAATCTTAAAGAAGATCACGATTACTTCCACCAGGTACAGGGCCAGATGTGGTTAAGTGGCTTCACCAAGTGTGACTTTGTTGTCTGGACGACTCGTGACTTACACATCGTTACCATCGCCAGAAGCGATTCATGGACTGTAAACCTAGAACTCCTAAAACAGTTCTATAGGGTCCACATGGTGCCGAGCATCATCGGGTCCGCTTAACCCGCAGGGCTCATGCCTGCTGGGCGATATGAGATTTGCCACTGTGATGTAATGTGTACAGGTGCGCGCCAGGCTGGTTGTCGTGTTTCACTTTCAAACGTCAAACTGTGTGTAATGTACAGGTGCGTAAGTAAATGTGTGTCACTGTACAGGTGCGCGCCAGGCTGGTTGTCGTGTTTCACTTTCAAACGTCAAACTGTGTGTAAATAATGCAAATAATAAACATACATGTTTGTGGACAGTTTTATTGACAAGTAAATGTCGCGTACCACAGCGCACAGCTGAAACAATTTCCAGATTATCATACTTCCATGACAGCTATAACTCAAGAAGTGTTTCATCAGACAGTGAAGACATATCAAACAGTTCGCAAACCAGTTTAGGACAAAATGCACAGTTTCCCGCGATAGTACTCCGGGCGTTGGTGAGAAAAACACAGACAATGCTATTGACTTACTTCAATTGATAACTACGCAAACGTTGCATCTAACAGGGTGATACCACTAATAACGCGCAGTTTGCTACCCGGCTTAAGAGGACATGTTGCTAAGTTTCTCGTGGCTTATGATAGGGCTCTGGGCGGTGGTGAGGAAGGCACAGACACGAACTATATTGTCTATCATATTCCTATACTGGTGGGGTATGCCATCTAAAATGGTGTAATACTTCAGCCGCTGAATCGCGCGCTCAACGTGCACGCGGGCTTCGGCAACTTCCCTGTTGTGCATCACCTCTTGCTTGGTGAACTGAGGCTGAAATAGATACGCAGGTGTGTTGACGGTGACGCCATCAGGTACAATGTCCTTGATAGGAAAACCTTTGTCAGCCAGGATGAGGTCGCCTGTGGTTAGCTGCTCCAACAGGCCGCTAGTCTCCACGATGTGCTTGTCAGAGGCATTGCCGCCGTAAACGTCACTGACAAAGTTCACAGTGCCATTGGGTGCCACCCCAACCATGACCTTGAAGGTGTTGGCAGCTTTGTAAGCACTGTAGGTGCTTGAGCGGCCCTCACAGCTATCAGGTCGCTGAATCCTAATTTCTGTGCAATCAAGTGTCGTCCTGCAGTGCCTGAACTTCCTGAACGATGCTGGCATAGATTGAGAATTCTTTTCTCTACTAGGCATACCCTTCCCAAAAATAGGCTTGAACAGAGCCTCAGCGAAGATGGACACAAATGTCCTGAAGACATTTGTAACGGTGGCTACACTCTTGTTAAATCTCACGCTTAGATCTGTGTGCCCAAAGTTGTGTCGCAGTTTCATCAACACCAGGAGAATTTGGTCCTCTAATGTCATCGTTGTGACCTTGAAGGTGTGGTATGTAAAATCACACATGCTCACATATGTGACTAGAGTTTCAAACATTGCTCTGCTCAAACTAGTATAGTAAGTTACTAGCTGTTCGCTATGGCTAATCTGGTTGTAGCAGAACCTCTGCTGCTGATAAGCTGCTGCAGTTTCAAGTCGTTTGATATGCTGTTTGAGAAGGTCGTTCTCGGCAGACAACATGGCCTCACTATGCACAGGTGGTCCAAGGACAGCATCTTCCATTTCCACAGCTGCATCTTGTCTTCTGTTTCCAGGAGAAGAGTGATGGGGTCTGGTATCATCAGGCAAGTTGATCCGCTTCCCTTCATTCCATGGAAACCTCATTGGACCTGCTTTTTTGCCATTAGGGAAGTGCCACGAACAGATCCTTGTGTGTTCGGTAGGGGTGAAGTTCTCCCTCCTGCAACAGAAAAAAGGGATTACATGATGATTTAGATTAGGCATGCATGATTAGGATGACGCAAGTTACAAGCCCTTCAAGTAGAAAATATCCACAAAAACAGGTTCATGCGATTGTTTCTGAAATGAAGCTTGCCAGTTTATTAATAATTTTCAATTTGAATGTTACAAAATGTAAATGTTTCAATGTTCATATCCAAAACATACAACAGACTTGGTAAATATATTTGTGCTATGACTACTGTTACTGCTATTTATGGAGTACCTACGCACCATGCACAAGTGATTGACGATCAAGGCTCTGAGTTAACCTTGTGAATCATTCCGTAATGATGCCAAAAATAAATATTTATCATTATCTGATATTATATACTCTATAGCTTTTATAGAAATAGTTAACAATAATTTGATGTTTTTATTAAAAGGTAAGATGCCATATTTCCCTTGCACGATTTATGGAAAAGATTTATGATGGGATTTATGAAAGCTTGACATGTAAAATATGCTGATTCTCAAAATTCTTACTAACCTTATCGCACGAATGTAGCGTTGACGGATCAGTTTGTTGCTGGGAAACCTGTAGAACGCATATTTGTTTTTGTCCCCTGACCGGTTCGTACAGCCTGGGACACAGCAATTCACCATCTCGATGTTCAAAGCTTAAAACAAGCGTGCGTCTTGTGATAGCTGACCTGAGGTCTGAGAAACACAGTAGGTATATCTAATTAATAACCCACTCCAATTCACTACCTATTCACAGCTAGTACATTTGCCCATTGGTGCCCGTGTTATAAACGTAATGGCGCAATGTCTTACCTGCGCCAAGATCGCACAAGTTTTTTTAATTTAGCAGCCGTGCAAAAAAATCATGTTTTTTTGTGCAAATCAATGAATATAAATGCATTTAAGTCGACCAAAATGACAACTTAATACCATTTCCATTATTGAAACATGACATAACATCGGTAAACGTCCCCAAATTCTTGCATTTTAGTTATGAATCGTTTGGCCTATCTCTACAACATTAGCGCAGTCAGCTGTTGGAACCGTGACGTCATCACTTAACAGCCCTATAGCGGCTGGCTAACCAGGCAGTACAGCGGCTGGCCACCAGGCAGTACAGCGGCTGGCTCACCAGGTAGCACACACAGCGGCTGGCCACCTGAGCCAGTGAGTACAGTGGCGCTGACCTAGGTACAACCTGTGACGTGACAGGTCAGGTCAAAGGTCGCATTTTTCGCCGATTACCTAAGGAATGCGTTATAACATCGAATAAAAGGCATGTTATCGAAAATCATCGATGAAGCGGTGGTCGCCCAATAAAAATGCTGCTTAGGAGTTCACTGATGCCAGGTCAGGTCACATAGGTCAGGTCACAAAAAGTCACAATATGGACCCAACTATACTAGGGTTTGGTGATACATGTTTTATGGAAAAATTTACAAATTCAATGGTGTGGGCTAGACGACAATAAGGGCCGGCTTACCTATATTTTGTTCTGGTGGAGGTCAGGTCAAGGTTAGGTCAAAAAAGGTCAAATTTCAAAGCTGATATTTTGCATAAAAAGGGTGTCTTTTCAATGAAGCTCATCGCGGGGAATCCGGTGGTGGTCTTCTTTATACTGTGCATTGTCTAAAACGGCTCTAAATTGAGTTTAAAATTTTAGGTTGTAAATGTTTAGCAGTTTTTCGCCATAACTTTGCTAAAAATTTGGCATGTCAAGTCTTATTTAGAAAAATTATCAGATTAGATTATTAGATTAAATTATTATTATTAATTAACAACCAGGCCGGAGTTATGGCTGCCCTCAGTCCGTCACGCTAACCGGGCAGCCAGCTCGATGTCCTGCGAGTGATTCACACCAGACCGGCACTGGAGGCGCTCGCCAGTGACGGGGCTTTCCGTCGCCGGGCCTCTGCAGGAGAGAGCGGCCGGAGCCCGCCGCCTCCGTCCCTCTCTCCGCCCTGCGCAGCGCAGTCCACAGACCACTTTCGCCCGAGCGGCGTGCCGTGCAGTGGGTATACACATTACACATACAGCGGCGGCCGAGCCGCACCGGGTCCGGGTCCGCACCGGGACTGCAGTGCTGTGGTGAGCGGCAAGGGCTGCAGGCGGAGCGGTCTGGGCAGCGATCAGAGGCAGACCCGTGTAAAGTGCCACCGACGCCGGACCAGAGGCAGACCCGTATAAAGTGCCGCCGACACCGGACCAGAGGGTAAAGTGCCGCCGACACCGGACCAGAGGCAGACCCGTGTAAAGTGCCACCGACACCGGACCAGAGGCAGACTCGTGTAAACACCGGACCAGAGGGTAAAGTGCCACCGACACCGGACCAGAGGCAGACCCGTGTAAAGTGCCACCGACACCGGACCAGAGGCAGACCCGTGTAAAGTGCCACCGACACCGGACCAGAGGGAGCACTATGGCCGATCAGTTCAAGGAGTGAGTTACCGGCTGTGTTGTTTTTGTTCCGCGTGGCTGCCCGCCGTGTTAACCCTCGCCCTGGCAGGGCATTTTTCATAACACGGCCTGGCAGGGGGGGGGGGGGGGTCGATGCGTCCCCCCTCGCGATTGGCTCCTGGGGCATTCCACGATAGATCGTACCAGGCCCGTCACCCTCATCTCTCAGATTTTAATCAAAATCGGTCCTAGCAAGGTCCTAGGGGTAAGCATAGGCCCCAAAGACGCCCGGCAAAATATCAGACTTCTCAGGTCAAAACTTTTTTGAGTTATATTGCATTATATTTTTTAACTTCGGTTTGTAACGGTGAGTTTGATGGCCTATAACTTAAGAACAGGTTAAGCAAGCAACAAACGGTAAAGAACACTAAGCTTGCGATGAATCAAAAATTAATATTACTTTTTAAAAATTCCAAAGAAAAACTTTCATTGTTGAACAAAAACCTTAATCTTTTTTCATTTGCCTCTAATGACTTTTGGGACCAAAATTTTTCACATTTCTATTTCTTCAAATAAACTTCATGTCATTGCAAATCGACAAGCAAAAAATTAGAAAGGTGTTCTTAATATAAGTGCCTCATTTTCCCGCGAACAAAATGGGTTTCGGAGGGGTTGATACGACCCCAGCACGCCGTTTCGCTTCTAATAGAGCTAGAGCCTCGCGGAAAAAAACAAGCGTGTGTGCCGTTACAAGTCGCAGCGATTGGTACCCAATTTTAATGTCTCAGGGTAACCGGTAGCGTCTGAGGTCAGGTCAAGTGACTCAAGTTACGGGTTCGGTTTTTAGTAAATAACTTCGCAAGAAATGGCCGCAGAGCCGCGATTTTGACATAATTGTGTTCGCCTAGCTCAGGTGCGTCGAATGGTATACTTTTTGTTAGGGTGTGGGGTAAAGGTTAGGTCAGAGCCCCTCAGGTCACGAAACTGGGCAAAGGGTATCATATGGCATATCATTCGATTCGGAAGGTCTTCCCGAGTCCATTGGTGGTTTCCCAACTTACTAGCTCAATTTGATCGGGAGTTATTGACGAAAATTCGTACGACCCTAGTGACGTCATAAATGACGTCACGCAAGGTTAACAATGCAAAAGTGAAGCATTGGACTTTGCAACGAGTGCATGAAATCACGATAACATGTACGTGAGATAGTTTTAGATCATTGTCGGCGCCAAAATAACAGTTTTTATATTAACAATGATGTCACGTGACCGACCTGACCTCAGGTGACCTTAAAAAATTCCCAGATTTGTTTTCCCAGAAAACAAAAACGACCATTGATCTCCCCCATGACGAGCTGCATCGACTCGATACCCATTTTATGCAAAAATATCAACTTTGAAATTTGACCTAATTTGAACTGACCTTGACCTGACCTTGACCTGACCTTCACCGGAGCATAATCCAAACTGACCCCAAGGGCTGCCTGACCCACATAATCGTATTTGGCATATAAAATGGACCATAAAACATGCATCACATGATACAGGGTGACACAAAAAATGCGGTCATCACCAAAATTTGAATAACTTCGGAAGTTTTATTCAGATCATCACCAAACTTCGGCCACTTTAGGTCACACCTATGTAGCAGACATCCACCAAGTTTCAAGTCTTCACTACGAATACTTTTAGTACAGTGTGTGTTTTACGGACGCTCCACAATGCTGCTCCAGGTGAGCGCCCCGGCGCTGCAGGGCGTAGGCACACCTGCATCCGGCGGGCAAAGTTGCCGATAACCCGATAAGAATAACGTTTCAGGGGTAGCACACCCCCTGAGCACTGTCTCCAGAGGCCATTGCACTCTGTAAAGTGCACAGCCATCGGGTTATCGACAACTTTGCCCGCCGGATGCAAGTGTGCCTACGCCCTGCAGCGCCGTGGCGCTCACCTGGAGCACATTGTGGAGCGTCAGTAAAACACACACTGTACTCAAAGTATTCGTAGTGAAGACTTGAAACTTGGTGGATGTATGCTACATAGGTGTGACCTTAAGTGGCCAAAGTTTGGTGATGATCTGAATAACACTTCCGAAGTTATTCGAAATTTGGTGATGAACGTTTTTTTTGTGTCACCCTGTATGTATTTTCATATTGTGACCCTCAGTGACCTGACCTCTGTGACCTGACCTGGTATCAGTGACCTCAGATAGCAAAATATGTGTTTGACAAACATTTCCCCATCGATGATTTTCAATGAAATGCATTTCACTCGATTTTACAACGCATTTCTTGAAATGCCTGTAAACGGTAAAAATTCGACATTTGACCTGACCTGTGACGTCATCGGTTTGACCTAGTTCAATGAAATTGGGTCACAAGATAGTTCCCTGTTGGGGCTATCCAACACCGTTTGCCGCTTGTCGCTGTGTTGCGTGGTTCTCGAGATCTTGGGGGGGGGGGCAAATTGCTCTCCCCCCTTCCCCAGCAGGGCGCGTTGCTCGGCAGACCCCAGCGGGACGCGGGTTGAACGTCGAGCCGGTAGGCAATACATTTACATGATTTTTCTACCTACGAACGGTTTAATGATTTTATCCCGTACCGCCGATGTCTTGTAGGCGCTTTAAGGAAAAAATCGTACACAAAACATAAAATGAACATAAAAAGAACATAAAAACGACAAATTTTCAGCAGAGGCCAAAAGGTTCTGTTCCCCACCGAACACTGTCCCACTCACTGTCCCTCCGTCTCTGTTCCCCAGCACGGGACACTGTCCCTCTGACTGTCCCTCCGTCTCTGTTCCCCAGCACCAAGGACATGACGTATAACGCCGACGAGGGCGTGCTGAAGATTTACCTGCGCGGCCGGCCGGTGAACCTGTACGCGCCCTCGGCCGTCCGCGACGAGTACCAGCTCACCAGGGCCGTGCCGGCGCCCAAACACCGGCTCCGACTCGAGTGGGTGTATCCTTTACCGCCGCACTGAGCCGGCCGGCCCAACGGCCCTGCACGGCAGGCCCTCTCAACACCGCCCCTGGCGTCTCACTGTGGTTTATCACCCGATTTCTGGGACCAGTATTTTGTTCAGCGCTGTTGCGCTCAGCACTCGCCATAACACTGTGTTGGCTGCCTAAGGTGTAACTGCGCCCCCACCATGGACTGTCCCTATCGGCCTGGTCACTAGGTGGTCACTATATAACGCCTGTCTGTGTCCAGACTGCATCAGACGGTACCCCGTCTCGTGTGCCCGTCTGTCTGCAGTCTCTCAGCTCACTGTGTAGTGTGTGTACCCCGGCTGTCTGGTCTCTGAGCCCACTGTGACCCGGCTGTCTGGTCTCCCACTGTGACCCGACTGTCTGGTCTCTGAGCCCACTGTGACCCGACTGTCTGGTCTCTGAGCCCACTGTGACCCGACTGTCTGGTCTCTGAGCCCACTGTGACCCGACTGTCTGGTCTCCCACTGTGACCCGACTGTCTGGTCTCTGAGCCCACTGTGACCCGACTGTCTGGTCTCCCACTGTGACCCGACTGTCTTGTCTCCCACTGTAACCCGACTGTCTGGTCTCCCACTGTGACCCGACTGTCTGGTCTCTGAGCCCACTGTGACCCGACTGTCTGGTCTCCCACTGTGACCCGACGGTCTGGTCTCCCACTGTTACCCGACTGTCTGGTCTCCCACTGTGACCCGACTGTCTGGTCTCTGAGCCCACTGTGACCCGACTGTCTGGTCTCCCACTGTAACCCGACTGTCTGGTCTCTGAGCCCACTGTGACCCGACTGTCTGGTCTCCCACTGTAACCCGACTGTCTGGTCTCTGAGCCCACTGTGACCCGACTGTCTGGTCTCCCACTGTGACCCGACTGTCTGGTCTTCCACTGTGACCCGGCTGTCTGGTCTCTGAGCCCACTGTGACCCGACTGTCTGGTCTCTGAGCCCACTGTGACCCGACTGTCTGGTCTCCCACGGTGACCCGACTGTCTGGTCTTCCACTGTGACCCGGCTGTCTGGTCTCTGAGCCCACTGTGACCCGACTGTCTGGTCTCTGAGCCCACTGTGACCAGGCTGTTTGGTCCGGAGAGCGGTCGGCTCGTCCCCAACTGTACCCCTTATAGACAGGTGTGACCTGTCGCCGGTGACTGACGGTGTGTGCTGCCACCCCCGGACTCGGACAGAACAGACGCGACCCGCCGCGCAACTGGCGACATCGCGAAGCACAGTTTCAAGCACGTGCCAGCGAAATCAGTTGTCAAAATGACTCTCCTTTTAGTTACACACAATATGGTCTGAAGTCATCATGTCAGGTGATTCTCACCCATTTGTAGAAACCTATCTTTTAGTTTTCCACAAAGTTTCGACAAACGGTGTTTTTGTGGTTCTTTTTATAGACAAACAATATGCAATACTCCAATGATATACAAATGTGATTTGATCTTTTATCTTTAGGTATCCAAGTTTGCTGATTTTTATGTGTGTACCTACCCCGTCCCCGTTACTACACTCGGGCTGTTCCCCGTCTGTATAGGCACCTCCTGTGTACCCCGTCTGTGTATACCGTCTGTATAGGTGCCCCCGATTACCCCCTGTGTCCGTCTGTGTAGTCCCCTCCCCCCTCGCCCTGTGCCCCGTCCCCACGACTGGGCCCGGTCTGCGGTATTTTCCTTGACTGTCGGTCTCTCAGTTACGGTTACCGCGGGAAGGACTGCCGCAATAACCTGTACCTGCTGCCCACCGGGGAGATGATATACTTCGTGGCCGGCGTGGTGGTGCTGCACAACGCGGACGACCAGACGCAGCGCCACTACACCGGACACACAGATGACGTCAAATGGTGAGACGTGACGTCACACCAGCGGCAAGACACAGCCGGACGGAGGGGCTCAGGCAGACACTGCCGGACGGAGGGGCTCAGACAGACACTGCCGGACCCGAACGGAGGGGCTCAGGCAGACACTGCCGGACGGAGGGGCTCAGACAGACACTGTCGGACGGAGGGGCTCAGACACTGCCGGACGGAGGGACTCAGACACTGCCGGACGGAGGGACTCAGACACTGCCGGACGGAGGGGCTCAGACAGACACTGCCGGACGGAGGGGTTCAGACAGACACTGCCGGACCCGAACGGAGGGGCTCAGGCAGACACTGCCGGACGGAGGGGCTCAGACAGACACTGTCGGACGGAGGGGCTCAGACACTGCCGGACGGAGGGACTCAGACACTGCCGGACGGAGGGACTCAGACACTGCCGGACGGAGGGGCCAGACAGACACTGCCGGACGGAGGGGCTCAGGCAGACACTGCCGGACGGAGTGGCTCAGACAGACACTGCCGGACGGAGGGACTCAGACACTGCCGGACGGAGGGGCTCAGACACTGCCGGACGGAGGGGCTCAGACAGACACTGCCGGACGGAGGGGCTCAGGCAGACACTGCCGGACGGAGGGCTCAGACAGACACTGCCGGACGGAGGGACTCAGACACTGCCGGACGGAGGGGCTCGCAGCAGGCACCATCTCCTAATGGATGATCGTACAGCTCACCGTGATAGAGACCGGAGGTCGATCACTTACATCCACTATCTTCATTCTTCGCATTGCAGTAATACACATGGTTGGCTCTTAGTTGGCGGGGTCACGGCAGGCGCTCTGGTGCAGGACTTCGATACGCTGACCCTGGCACCTATAGCCAACTGTTCCGGAGGATCCCGGATAATACTCTGGTGTTACTCTCGAAAGTAAAACAGCAGAAATAGCATGTGCCTCCATGCGCGAGGAACTAAAGAAATTTGTGCTTAAATAGAGTAGAGTTTTTTTATGTCGGAAAAGACGTGAAATACAAAACGAGAGAAATGTGAAAACAGTTTGTGAATATAAAGATAAGTTTAATTAAGCTATTAAGAAACAAGAACACAACGCGAGAACACTATCATTCACCACCAACATATACATTTTTCGTTCGACGCTGGTTGGTGCCTGCTGTCTACACTACAATCAGAAAATATAATTGTCAACTAGTCCAATTGGGTTAGCTGCAGTGCATGCATACTGTTAAGTTGTTTCAGTGATGACTCAACGATTGATGTGGGTACGAGAGATAGAATCATGACACAATATTTCGAGTTGCTGTTTTTATAAGTTGCCTGTTATTGCTGACTGGATCTGTTTGCAGCCTGGCGGTCCATCCGAACCGTTTCACCATCGCCTCTGGCCAGTGCACCGGCTCGGCACCTGACGCTCAGGTAACTGTCCCTCCTGGCTCGGCCCCTGACGCTCAGGTAACTGTCCCTCCTGGCTCCTGCCGCCCCGGCTCGGCCTCTGACGCTCAGGTAACTGTCCCTCCTGGCTCCTACCGCCCCGGCCCGGCTCGGCCCCTGACGCTCAGGTAACTGTCCCTCCTGGCTCGGCCCCTGACGCTCAGGTAACTGTCCCTCCTGGCTCCTACAGCCCCGGCTCGGCCCCTGACGCTCAGGTAACTGTCCCTCCTGGCTCCTACAGCCCCGGCTCGGCCCCTGACGCTCAGGTAACAGTCTCTCGGCCCCTGACGCTCAGGTAACTGTCCCTCCTGGCTCGGCCCCTGACGCTCAGGTAACTGTCCCGCCTGGCTCCTACCGCCCCGGCTCGGCCCCTGACGCTCAGGTAACTGTCCCTCCTGGCTCGGCCCCTGACGCTCAGGTAACTGTCCCTCCTGGCTCCTGCCGCCCCGGCTCGGCCCCTGACGCTCAGGTAACTGTCCCTCCTGGCTCATACAGCCCCGGCTCGGCCCCTGACGCTCAGGTAACTGTCCCTCCTGGCTCCTACCGCCCCGGCTCGGCCCCTGACGCTCAGGTAACTGTCCCTCCTGGCTCATACAGCCCCGGCTCGGCCCCTGACGCTCAGGTAACTGTCCCTCCTGGCTCCTACAGCCCCGGCTCGGCCCCTGACGCTCAGGTAACTGTCCCTCCTGGCTCCTACCTACCGCCCCGGCTCGGCCCCTGACGCTCAGGTAACTGTCCCTCCTGGCTCGGCCCCTGACGCTCAGGTAACTGTCCCTCCTGGCTCCTGCCGCCCCGGCTCGGCCCCTGACGCTCAGGTAACTGTCCCTCCCGGCTCCTACAGCCCCGGCTCGGCCCCTGACGCTCAGGTAACTGTCCCTCCTGGCTCCTACCTACCGCCCCAAATCGGCCCCTGACGCTCAGGTAACTGTCCCTCCTGGCTCCTACCGCCCCGGCTCGGCCCCTGACGCTCAGGTAACTGTCCCTCCTGGCTCCTGCCGCCCCGGCTCGGCCCCTGACGCTCAGGTAACTGTCCCTCCCGGCTCCTACAGCCCCGGCTCGGCCCCTGACGCCCAGGTAACTGTTCCTCCTGGCTCCTACCGGGGCATTCCACGTCAAATCAAACACCGAAATCCGTCATCCCCTTCGATTTTTCTGAAAATTTGTAGGCAGACTGGGCATGGTTCAAAACTGAGTTACGTGTAATATTTTCGAAATTTGATAACGTATCGCCGAGATATAGGTCATCGAATATAGCCAAAAATGCCACACATCATTTTTTTAAATGCTTATAACTCTGGTTCCTTTTCTGGTATCAAAATGATATTAACAGGGTCTTGTAGGCAATTGATAAGGCTTTGATTTTTAATTATAAAATTAAATTGAAGTGACCTTGAAATGCATTTGACCTTGAATTAAAACAGAAAAATTTAAATAGCAAAAACCACGCCACCTTCGATTTGAGTAATTTTTACACATTATGTCCGTCACAATGCTCCTAAGCATCTGTGAAAAAAATTGGAGTGGGCCATTCATAACTTTCGCGGCAAACGCCGTTTTCATGCATCAACATCACGCAACCGCGCGTGACCTTGAAAGACAGAGTCAAGACATGCTTGCTTGTGTACACTTTCTGAAATGAATGATTGCTGATTAGTGATATCCCAAACTCTGCGAGAATTGAAATGCATAGTCATCGTAGTCAAGCATTCACGTTCCATTGTAAAAGTGTCTCAGGCTGCAGGCAAACGGTATTTTGCGGTGAATTTTGAGCCGTGTGGAAATGCATCATGAAATAAATTCAACGAAAACATTATCACGCAACGATATCTTCACGTCTTTTGATCTTCACTATACGAAAGAACATACATTTTTGAGTATGTATGGGGAATTTCTAGTTAATCCGATAATAAATATGGCAGTTAGAGTCCTGCTAAGAGTAACATGTCGCCGGCTGAGGCGGGATCGGCCGACGCGGGAAACGCAGCAGTCACAATTTTGTGTTTACACGTTCATATTTCAATTGTTTACCAACCTATTTTCAGAATTCTTTCACCATAAGATTGCCTGTACATTTCTTAGTCTTCTCACAAAATTTGACGCGAATCGAACGTAATCAGCGGTAAGGAGCGCGATGTAAAGACGGAACCGTTCCGTTCCGTCCCGGCACAGTCTACAATTCAGGCGGCGGCTAGCGGTCGGCGCCGGCTGCCGAGTCGCCGCGTCGCCCCGGCGACAGAATGTTCACTTTACACCGCTATTACTAGAACAGTTGTGAACCGATTTTCTTATTGCTTGCACGATGAGATGTGCAATTCAATTCTGGACAGGTAGCCATAAGTAATTTCGCATCAATATTATGAGATATTGGCGAAAAACAGGAGGGGTGGGGCGAAATTCACTCTTCCCCCTCCACTGCGCGTGCTAACATACGTTTGCATATGTGCCATTTTCTTCAAAACTTATGAATGGCCCACTCTAATTTTTTCACAGGTTGTTAAGAATATGGTAGGCAATAAAATATATGAAAATGAGCCAAATCGAAGGTGGCGTGTTTTTTGCTATTTCAATTTTTGTGCTTAAGAACAGAGTTAAGCAAATTTCAAGGTCATATATTTAAGTCGATGCAATTCTACACAAATGCTTAAGAAATTACCTAAACAGTAAGGTTTATTTCATTCAAATCAAACAAGTACAACCAAAGTTATGGTCGTTCAAAAATATAAAGATGCAACATTTTGTAAAAATTTGATGCCCTATATTTAGAAGACCTGTGGTCAGAATGTGCAAAAAACATCAATGTAATGTCCGGGGCGACACAGGAACTCGCTCACAAATTTATAATGAAATCGCTGATGGTAAGGTGCAAAACAGCCGATTTTTGTTCGATTTGACGTGGAATGCCCCTACCGCCCCGGCTCGGCCCCTGACGCTCAGGTAACTGTCCCTCCTGGCTCCTGCCGCCCCGGCTCGGCCCCTGACGCTCAGGTAACTGTCCCTCCCGGCTCCTGCCGCCCCGGCTCGGCCCCTGACGCTCAGGTAACTGTCCCTCCTGGCTCCTGCCGCCCCGGCTCGGCCCCTGACGCTCAGGTAACTGTGCCTCCTACCCCCTCACTCCTGACACTCAACGTGGGGCTGTTTTCCATTTATCATGGGCTTCAGCTCTGTTCACGAGCGATATACTCGTCGTTTCCGCTCCGTTTTTATTTTCGCAGGAGTGCAGTGCTAACGGGATGGGATTGCCGCTGATCTCTGCAAGGAACCCTGAACCAACCATCAACCTGTAACTGAGTTTCTATGAGTCAGTGACTATTTTGTATCAATTTTGGTGACCCGCTGCCCGAATCCCTACCCCGACATTCGAGTGACTGGTCAGTGAGTTTTGTCCCCTGACTGTCCCTCCCGGTAGCAGTGGGTGCCGCTGTCCCCTGACTGTCCCTCCCGGTAGCAGTGGGTGCCGCTGTCCCTGACTGTCCCTCTCGGCGGCAGGCGCACGTGCGTGTCTGGGACAGTGTGAGTCTGAACACGCTGCACGTGCTGGCGGGCGGCGAGCTGGACCGCTCCGCCGGCTGCCTGGCCTTCAGTCGCGTGGACGGCGGCGTACTGCTGGCCTGCGTCGATGACGGTGCCGAGCGCACTCTCAGCGTCTGGGACTGGCAGAAGGGCGCCAAACTCACCGAAAACAAGGTCGGTCAGAGCGCGGCGAGGAGGGTGCCCGGGCCAGTCGACGGCGCTGACCGGGTCGGCTGCGACACACTGATACTCGGAGAGCGCTATTAATCAATACTCATATTCGAATGTGGATTTGGCAATGCCCACTTGTTCCAATAATAAAACATTGTACATGCAAGTTTTGGTGAGCCTCAACAATTCCTTGATACTCGATATATGCATGCGACATATGCATTTTTTGACTGGCATACACATGTCTATAGGTATATGTAGTAGGTATCTAAACACATCCCCTGGCTCTTGAAGGGTAGGTATGCCCCAGCCGCAGTGGTTATCTGACTCTGACTGTGACCTGTGTGTCCGAGACGCACTACCTGACCGTGACGTCCTGTGTGCCCCGCAGGCGTCCGCGGAGACGGTGGTGGACGTCCAGTGGCACCCTCTGGACCGCGGCGTGCTGATGACCTGCGGACGGCAGCACGTCAACTTCTGGCTGCTGGAGGCCGGCTGCCTGCAGCGGCGGCAGGGCGTGTTCGGCGGCCGCGACCGGCCCAAATACGTCACCTGCATGGCGTTCACCGACTCCGGGGACCTCATCACGGGCGACTCCGAGGGGCGCATCCTCCTCTGGGAGCGAGGTGAGCGACTGCACGGCCGTGGCGAGAGGCGGCGGCCGGGCTCCGTCCAATTACCCAGCCCGCAGGCGGCCGGTCCCAGCGCTCTTTCGTGCTCTGCGTCGCTGCAGGCGGTCCCCGCCGCTGTGGGCCGACCTCTGACCTCCCCGGTGACTGTGCAGTGGCCGCCGCTGTAGAGAACCGGCGCTCGACAGAGAGCTGCGCTGACCACCCCCCCCCCTCCCCCGGCGGCAGGGGGGAACCAGGTAGCGCGCACCGTAAAGGCCGCCCACGAGGGCGCCGTCTTCACGCTGATGGTCGACAAGGCGGGCAACATCGTCTCCGGCGGCCGCGACGGCAGAATAGTGCAGTGGGACCGCAGTCTGAGCCGCACCGGCAACGTACTGGAGGTCAGTGACCTGACCTGACCTGGGCGGGGTAGGGCGGGGCGGGGGGGGAAGGCGTAGCCATAGCTGTAAAGAGCTGGAGGTCAGTGACCTGACCTGGGGCATCAGTCATGGAGAGGGGATGGAGAATGGCCGTGACAGAACTGAGAGGGGGGGGCAGAAGAGCAGCCGAGTGACCCGCTCTGACCTGCTGTGACGTGACCCTCCCCCGCCCCGCCCGGCAGCTGCCAGCCGAGTACGGCGCGCCCCGGATGGTCTCCGCGGGCCGCGGCAGCCAGCTGCTGGTCGGCACCACGCGCAACTGCGTGCTGACCGGCGACTGGACGCTGTCGGCGCGTCTGGTGGCGCGCGGCCACACGGACCAGGTGTGGGCGGCGGCCGCGCACCCGGGCCGGCCCCAGTTCGTCACCGGCGCCTGGGACGGTCAGCTGCTGCTCTGGGACGTCATGACCCACTCTCCCGTCTGGGAGCTGGCACTGGAGGTGAGTGGGACCGGGACACTGTCCCCTCTGGGGGTGAGTGTATGGGACACTGTCCCGTCTGGGGGTGAGTGGGACGGGGACACTGTCCCGTCTGGTGGTGAGTGGGACCGGGACACTGTCCCGTCTGGGGGTGAGTCCGGGGGTGAGTCTGGGGGTGAGTGTAGGGGACACTGTCCCGTCTGGGGGTGAGTATAGGGGACACTGTCCCGTCTGGGGTGTGAGTGTAGGGGACACTGTCCCGTCTGGGGGTGAATGTTTGTCCCGTCTGAGGGGTGAGTTGGACGGGGACACTGTCCCGTCGGGGCGAGTGTAGGGCCGGGACACTGTCCCGCGTTGAACGAACGATACACTGTCTCGCTTAGGATAAATATGATCTCGGCCTACTGTCAGGGAGCAATCAGTTAGAGTCTGTGAGCTGTTCATTAAGTAGGGTGAGTACCTACTGATTACTGAGCATTGAGTAGTGAACGAAATGTCAGCAAATTATCCCGCAGTGCAGGCTGTATAGCATTAGCGTATAACACAATTCACTGATTTAACAGCCTTTCCTGCACGAGAACCTCCACTGCAATGTGCGGTACCTTCTCATTTGACCTCTAATCTGGTGGTCCTTTTTGACGCGGTCTCCCCCAGGAGTGTCTTTATTACCCACTACCCACTACCCAATACCCAGAACTATTGTCGGTGTTACCCCGGATCTATCCGTTTCCAGGAGTATATCCAATGCAGTGTTACTCCGTTCCCAGAAGCGTATCCTGTGGGGTGTTACCCTCGTCTCGGTCCGCAGGAGGGTATTCAGTGCGATGTTACACTCACCTCTCGGTCCCCAGAGGGTATCCAGTGCGGTGTTACCCCCGTCTCGGTCCGCAGGAGGGTATTCAGTGCGGTGTTACCCCTCACCTCTCGGTCCGCAGGAGGGTATTCAGTGCGGTGTTACACTCACCTCTCGGTCCGCAGGAGGGTATTCAGTGCGGTGTCACACTCACCTCTCGGTCCGCAGGAGGGTATTCAGTGCGGTTTTACACTCACCTCTCGGTCCGCAGGAGGGTATTCAGTGCGGTGTTACACTCACCTCTCGGTTCGCAGGAGGGTATTCAGTGCGGTGTTACACTCACCTCTCGGTCCGCAGGAGGGTATCCTGTGGGGTGTTACCCCTGTCTCGGTCCGCAGGAGGGTATTCAGTGCGGTGTTACACTCACCTCTCGGTCCGCAGGAGGGTATTCAGTGCGGTGTTACACTCACCTCTCGGTCCGCAGGAGGGTATTCAGTGCGGTGTTACCCCCGTCTCGGTCCCCAGCAGGGTATTCAGTGCGGTGTTACACTCACCTCTCGGTCCGCAGGAGGGTATTCAGTGCGGTGTTACACTCACCTCTCGGTCCGCAGGAGGGTATTCAGTGCGGTGTTACACTCACCTCTCGGTCCGCAGGAGGGTATTCAGTGCGGTGTTACACTCACCTCTCGGTCCTCAGGAGGGTATTCAGTGCGGTGTTACACTCACCTCTCGGTCCGCAGGAGGGTATTCAGTGCGGTGTTACCCCCGTCTCGGTCCCCAGCAGGGTATTCAGTGCGGTGTTACCCCTCACCTCTCGGTCCGCAGGAGGGTATTCAGTGCGGTGTTACACTCACCTCTCGGTCCGCAGGAGGGTATTCAGTGCGGTGTTACCCCTCACCTCTCGGTCCCCAGGAGGGTATTCAGTGCGGTGTTACACTCACCTCTCGGTCCCCAGGAGGGTATTCAGTGCACGGCGTTCTCGCCGGACGGCTCCCGGCTGGCGGTCGGCCTCGTCTCCGGACGCTGGGAGGTGCTGGACGCCGACACCCGCGAGCGGCTCTTCTCGCGCGCCGACGGCCCCGAGCCGATCCAGGCGGCCGCCTTCTCGCCCGACGGCCGCCTGCTGGCTCTGGGATCGCGCAACAACGCCCTCTTCATCTACCAGGCCGGCCCCGCCGGCTACTCCCGGGTGGCAAAGTGCACGGTCAGTGACCAATGGAATCCAGTGTACGGTCAGGTCAGTGTCCAATCAAATCCAGTGCACGGTCAGTGACCAATCAAATCCAGTGCATGGTCAGTGTCTGATCTAGTCCAGTGCACGGTCAGTGTCCAATTGAATCCAGTGCGCGGTCAGTGTCCAGTTGAATCCAGTGCACGGTCAGTGTCGAATTGAATCCAGTGCACGGTCAGTGTCTGATCTAATCCAGTGCACGGTCAGTGTCCAATTGAATCCAGTGCACGGTCAGTGTCTGATCCTGTTCAGTGCACCGGGTGGGTCCGATCAAAGTCAGCTGAGGGATGAGTCTGATCCTATCCAGTTAACAGGATGGGGCCGATCCTATTCAGTGCACGGGATGGGTCAGATCTGTTCCAGTGGCGCTTGTCCGTGCCGTGCCGGTGCCGTGTCCTCACAGTGCCGTGCCGGTGCCGTGCCAGTGCCGTGTCCTGACAGTGTCGTGTCCTCGCGGTGCCGTGCCGGTGCCGTGTCCGTGCCGTGTCCTCACAGTGCCGTACCGGTGCCGTGTCCGTGTCGGTGCCGTGTCCGTGTCGGTGCCGTGTCCTGACGCCCCTCCGCTCTGCCGGCGCCGCAGGGCCACTCGAGCTTCATCACACACCTGGACTGGTCGGCTGACTCGACCCTGCTGCGCACCAACTCCGGCGACTACGAGCTGCTGTTCTGGTCGGCCGCCACGGGCCGCCAGCTGACGCAGCCCTCCCAGCTGAGAGACACGCAGTGGGCCACCCATACCTGCACGCTGGCCTTCAACTCTGTCGGTAGGTGGTAGTGATGTCAATTATGGAAAATCGGAATGCCGATACCAAACCAAATACCAACCAAAACCACGGGAAAATACCGAAACCAAACCAACTTGGGAAACTGAGGGAAATACCAACTTTTTACCGATTTATTAGCCTCTTATACATTAGAGAGGGCTTATGATACCAACAAAATACCAAACACATTACGATTGAAATACGAAATACCAAGTTGGTATCGGTTTGGTATCGGTATACCAAAAAGTTGGTATCCGATTGACATCTCTAGTAGGTGGCAGCCCCGTCCGGGCAAGGTTTCCAACCAGAATGTCTCCTGCTAGGGAAACAAAACTACGAAAGTGCCCCTGAAGCCTTTTTAGATGCGTATAAAGTTTCCAACTAACATATCACAACTGTGTGTGTGTGTGTTTTTTTTTTTGCTCCGTTAGAATGTATGGCTGGTAGCACTCCTAATCCCCGGCTGCTGTAGGTACCTAGGTAGGTATGTCTCCCGCCGCCCTGTGCCGCCCCGCCCCGTGTCTGCTGTTGTCGCCGCTGACCTGACCGGGTCTGCGTTGCGCGCGGCAGGTATTTACCCTGAGGCGGCCGACGGCACGGACGTCAACACCTGCTGCCGGTCACACAGAGGTCACCTGATGGCCTCCGGCGACGACTTCGGCAAGGTCAAACTCTTCAGCTACCCGGCCAACCAAGCCAAGGTGCGTGCCTGCGGTCGGTGCAGCATTGCTAGTGCTGGAGCCTAAATATGCACGTGCTGACAATGCCTAAGCATTGAGGAGACTCTAACGCTGAGCCGATTACTAGGCCTTGGCTGATCGTGTAACATTCAGACTTCGAGAGAGGCTGTGAATGGTGGTGGTCCTTTCTATCTATTACCTATCTAGTGATGAAATCGCTTGAAATTGTCACTAACGTTGATAACATTTAGGTATGCCTATGTGCATAAACTCTAAAAGATTAATTTAGAATACCTACCACACATCCTGCCTGGCGATGTACAGCCCTCCAGCAAAAAGTGTGGTTGGCCATTCGATTGTTTTGGTATAATAGGTAACTTGAAATGGTAGAGACATTCCAGCAGAATGACTCGATAGAAATGAGAAGAAAATTCGTGGGGATCCTCTGGTAATGGTTTGAAAGGTGCACAAGATATTATTGTGATGTTGACATTGTTGTCAACCAGCCACATAATACCTAGAGTGCCGTTCACTTCCTCCCAGGTAGGTGCTGTAAGTTCATATAGGCCAGTAAAATTTGCTCGAAGACGGCATTGTGCCTATTTGGCCGCACACGCCCCCCCCCCCCGCCAACACCAGAAACTGACGGGATGTTTCCTCTCCCCTACCCCCAGACGCACCACCAGACGTGTCGAGGTCACAGCAGTCACGTGACACATGTGGAATTTTTCGCCGAGGATGACCGGCTGCTGTCTGCCGGCGGCCAGGACACTGCTGTCCTCCAGTGGACAGTGGAGTAACCTCTGCTTCCAACGGCTGCCACGGTGGCGCTAGCGGCGCCGCCGGGTTACGTGCTTGTGTTGTGCTGCATTCTCCCGGTCCCGGGTCGGGGGCGTCTGCGGTTCTATCGCCTTCGCGAACCAGGCAAACGAAGGACCTGGCTAGTTAGATAGATGATCTAGATGCTGTTGGAACCACATTTATGAAGCGTTGACGTAAAGTGTTTCACCGTATCGCAGTGTTGCTGATGTAGCCGGCGACCGTTTGCGGGCACCGACACGGGGTTCCGCACAAACAGTGCTGTACACAGTGTGTCAGACGGCCCTGGGGGTGAGCTGGCGGGGTGAGCTGGCGGGGGGAGCTGGCGGCGTGAGCTGCTCACCGCGTCACCCACCACGTGGACACGTGCACTGTGAGGCGGCCGGCCGGGCGCCGAGGTCCGAGGTCCGAGGTCCGGGAGGTGTCCCCCCGAGGTCCGGAGGTATCCACCGAAGTCCGAGGTCCGGGAGGTGTCCCCCGAGGTCCGGGTCCGGGAGGTGTTCGGCTGAGAGGTCCGTCACCGTAAACCACCCCGGCGGCAGCCTGCACGGGGTCGGGTGTCGAGGGGGGGGGGGACGACTCCGAACCGCCGAAGCTCAGCCGGTGGGAGGGAGCGTGTGGCGCCGCTGCCCACTCAGCTGTGACCGGGAGTACCGGCGGGAGGGAGCGTGTGGCCCCACTGTCCACGCAGCTGTGGCCGGGAGTCCCGGACACCGTTGGGAGGGAGCCAGACGCCGTCCTCTGGCGGGGCGGACGGCCCTGTTCTGTGGCGGGCGGACGCCGTCCTGTGGCGGCTGGGCGGCCAGACCCTGCCCGTGGTGAGGCCGCCTTTGGCAGCCAGTTTTCATGTATGGACGGGTGATTCTGCTGTGCGGGCGGTCGACGACAGCACTGAATTTGTAAACCGATGCCAACCCGCACGATCGTATTTGAACAATGTTGTGTAATACACGTGAAACCGAAAGGAAATGATGTTTGGATAGTTTATTAACCACGCAACACTACACTAACGATACCCCCGAACCCGATTACGATACGCTGACGAAGCTTTGTAATGCAATTCGGATGCTCCGATCCAAACGATTTCTTGTGGAGTAAAGTCCTCATTCAATTATTACACGCAACACTAAATGCTTCATATACTTGAATTGTCATGTGTTGCTTGGCTTCATATATACTTGAATCTGACGCATCAAATGAGATGAAATTGTATCACTTTTTTGTCAATTTATTTTACAATTTGACATTTTTTTAGTTATATTTTTTTTTCGTTTTCAGTCATGAACGATTTCACTTATCCTAACCACATTTGTCCTGAAGATTTGGAGCGTTGATGCCCATTTGCATGGCAAAAACGGTTAGCTTTGAAGCCATAGAAGCCGAGAAATCGATGTGGATCATCTTACCTCACGGCTCAAATTACCCCACATTCCCCCACGGCTGATCGAGAGCCAGTGGATGCAGCAGGACGGAGCTACCGTTTAAACGGCCGCCGCGACCCGTGACTGGCTGCGACGCTCTTCGGGGAGGGACTGCCCCTCGGCTAGAGGTGAACCCATGGTCCGCGCACTGTCCGGACCCCAACATTTATATTTCTGATTTGGACACCTACAAAGGCTCAAGTGTATACTGTATAGACTATAGGGCATGAATAATCTGAAGGAGTCAGCTAAGTGCGCGATTCGGGGCATGCATCCGGCTTTCTACCGCACGGGTGGCATAGGTAAGGTAGCGCGCGTTTTTAGGAGGCTTTTGGCTTGGGACGGGGCGCAGCGCAAATTATGGAAAATGTGCTGTACGGACGGCGCCGAGCATGGAACACCGATACAAGTACATACCACACAAGAAAGAAGTGTCTAACATAAGTTTGGTGCGACTTTGGTGTTTCTGCGAGGTTATTTGTTCTCAAAATACGCCAAATTTAAACCCGTCTGTTTTTTTTTTTCGAGAAGTCCCGGTACTTAAAATAAACCATGAACCGAATTTCATCAAATGCGCCATCGTGAAAAAGCTAGTACCTCACATCACCTTACCTTACCTTAGGTACTTTGAAAGTCATCGGGATAAAAAAAGCCACTTGGCCTATAGGTCCCGTTCTCATCACGTCAAAATGTATTTTGTTTGTTTGTTTGTTTGCTTGCTTGCTTGTTTGTTTGCAGTGGCGCGGGAACCGGGGGGGGGGGGCTAGCGGGGGCTGAGCCCCTCCAACTCTTCGGCTGGGGGGGGGGCTCGTAATGTATTTGAGCCCCCCCCCCATCTGGAGGAATCGAAATCGGAAATCTACCAACATAATTTCATAGATTCATACATAGGCGCGGGAACCGGGGGAGGGGGCAGTGGGGAAGCTTGCCCCACAACTCTGGGGCCGTGGGGGCGTTGCTCCACAACTTTTCATGAGGTTAGGAACCGTTGGGGCAGCTTGTCCTCCCCAAATTAGGGGTTGTGGGTCACAAAGGAAGAAAGCATGTAAGTGAAAAATCCACCTCTTTCACTGGCTCGGCAACTTATTTGGCAGATTAAAACCTTTATTCCAGACTGCCAAAACGGCAGTTTCTTGACTCAGCTGAGACGGAATACCTCACTTTTTTTGCAAATATTTTCGTTTTTTTTTTTCGTTGAAAAGGCCAAGGTCTGAAAAATAAGTGGCCTAAAACCGGTGAGAAAACTAGATTTGGGGGTACCCTAGGTTGATCTCTATTATGGTTCAGCCCCCCCCCCCAGTCTTGAAGAAGTTCCCGCGCCACTGTTTGTTTGTTTAGACTTTTTCGGTTGAAGACCATTTTACAGCCGGGAGGATGATAAAAATTAGGGACAGACATTGGTACGCCGGTGTGCACACTGCTGAGTGCTGACCCGTCGGGGCTGAGCCCATCACGTGGACATGGGCCACCCAGCCCCTAACGGTTACCGTACCCGGCTACGGGGCAGGCTCCTACGGGAGTTTCCCGCATAGGATAAAGCTGCCCGTCCAGCCCTGAACAGAAGTGGAGGCGTGGAGGACAAGGATTTGACTATTCCGAGGATGGAAACGACGGAATGGAGGTGAAGGTGTATTTTTATGCCATTAGAAACTTAACGTGATAGAAGTTGGTGTTTTATGTGGACCGGAAGGCGCATTACTCATTCGTCAATTGTTATTTGTATAGGTACTTTCTTTTGTTTCGGACTTTATTTTATTACATCCACTATATAAATCTTGTTAATAGCACCATATGGTTACTATCGCAATTGCTTTATGAAATCGTTTTGGCGTAAAACGCAGCAAAATGGCTGCAGAGCTGCGTCGGTCGTATTTTGCGCCCGTTTATGAGCTGGGCCACCGTTGGCTGGCGCTGCGCTGGCCGCGCCGCCGCTCAGCGGCCGTCTCTCTGGTGTTTGGCGGCGCCCGGGGAGCTGTGTGCCGGACCGGCGCCCGGGGAGCTGTGCGTCGGACCGCGCCGGCGCCGCTTGGGCCGTGCAATGGGCACGTGGCGGTGCCGTACTCAGCGCCGCGACCAGCCGGCCGATTAGCCGGCGCTGACCGGCCGGCCGGCCGCACCGCAGATGATTGCCGCGTGCCGGCCGGATTGGCGGCGGCGCGGCGGACCGGTCGCGCGACGCTCTCCGCCGGGTGACCATGACAGACCAGTCAGCGACAGAGATAGTCGGCACAATAACCGGAACACTATCACTGCGGCCGCACCGCACCGACCGGCCGCTGACGGCACAGCGCTGTCAGCCGTTTTAAAAGTCGACAGAGAGAGAGAGAGGGAGAGATGGGGGAAAAGAGAGGGAGTTTGGGAGATAGGGGAGGGAGAGAGGGAGAGGGAGGGAGAAATGGAGGGAGGGAGAGAGAGAGAGAGAGAGAGAGAGAGAGAGAGAGAGAGAGAGAGAGAGAGAGAGAGAGAGAGAGAGAGAGAGAGAGAAGGGGGACAGAGAGAGAGAGAGAGAGAGAGAGAGAGAGAGAGAGAGAGAGAGAGAGAGAGAGAGAGAGAGAGAGAGAGAGAGAGAGAGAGAGAGAGAGAGAGAGAGAGAGAGAGAGAGAGAGAGAGAGAAAGAGAAAGAGAGAAGGATAGAGAGTTGGAGGGTTTAGAGATTCGTTAGTCAAATTGATCAGAAAATGCAAAATGGACCACAAAAGGTGCATATGTACATTGTTGCATTGGTATATTAGTAGATACAAACAATAATTACACATAAGCAGGGGTGCGAAGCCGGAGCGGAGCTGGAACCGGAGCCGCCGGAGCCGGCAGATTTTGCCGGGAGCCGGAGCCGTGAAACATAGCCCGGAGCCGGAGCTGTCAAAGAACTCCGGCTCTTTTTTTAAGAGGAAGAAAATTAATTGAACTAGTTAAGCTTGACAGTACAATGCAGTAAAACATGTGCTACGTCATGGGCAATTAATGCCTCGAGCTTTTTTCTGAGAAAGATACCTATGCAATGCATAACATTTCGCCATGTGCTTATATGCCCTGTTCGCTGATTGCATGTGCTGTTGAGAAAATAGCCTTGTTATGGAAATACAGAAGCAACGTGTACCAATACAATCGCCTTTTTTCTTCCACCCGTATTTAATTGATCGCATAGGAGATATACTGAGTCGGAGCCGGAGCCGGAGCCGATTTTTTGCTCCGGAGCCGGAGCCGGAGCCGGAGCCTTCTGAGCCGTCTTTCCACGGCTCCGCATCCCGGCACACCATCTGCACACAATATCACCAAAACTACACAAGGCCAAGTCGCACAGGCATCCCTAGCTGTTCGCCGTTTGGCTATCCCGCGGAACTCGATTTTCACGTGAGTGTCTCAAAGATCGTTAGGTCAGGACACCGTACAGTCTGTCTTAAAAGTACCGCGCAAAGTGACGGTGGATCCATCATGCCTGACCGAGGAAGGGCCTACTAAATTTGAGTCACTGAAGCAATTCACATCCTCGTCCATTCCCTAGGTCAATTGGTTCGGTGACTTTCAAATTATAGCAGGCCCTACCTCAGTCAGGCTTGATGGATCCACCGTCACTTTGTGCGGTACTTTTAAGACAGACTGTACAATCCAGCGGAGCACCTCGGATCCCGTCTGGGATCCAGAGGTAGGGGCCGTCGGGGATCCGGAGCTGAGACGCGCTGCTCCGGCCGGGCGGGCGCCTTCTCCGGAGCGGCGCGGCGGTGATTTAGGAGCCGGTCCCCATTATCAGCCGTCGGTGCTCGGTACCGGCCGCTCGTGCGGTCCGCTGGACACAAAAAATCGCCACTCCCCGCGCCGTCCTGCCGGTCTGACGACGGCAGACGAGCACAGGTGCATTCCGGGGGGCGGCGGAGGGGGGGGGGGCTCTGACGGTCCCGCTGCCGCCTTATCTGGCTGCATCTGGCAGCAGGCAGAGCAACTGGCCGGCGCCGGCCGTCGATACCGCACCGGCGCCGCCAGCCAACTGGCTGATGGTATTTGGCAACCCCGGTATGATTGTAGGCATGATTGAATGATATATTAATCACCAGCAGGTAAAAACTCGATTACAGGTGAAGTCTATGCATATAAATGCAACGGAAGGGACGCATAGATATTACAGGATACCCGTGGGTACAGATAACGCTGACTGCTACGTGACGCAGACTAAGGCAAAACGTAGACTTCCAGAGTTGACGTAGATATTGCTGCTTCCCTCTTCAACTTTACCATTGGGTTGGTAAATATGTCTTCTGAGGGATTCTAGGCGACAAGATCGTTAACAATACGTGGGACCATAGACCTCTGTACACCTCCGGGTGTACAGAGGTCTATGGTGGGACACATTTAAAAAGACTAGTCAGTGTAGCATTTACATGACTATGAATGAGACATGCTAAACAGGGTGAAAGATGAAGATCTATAGTTTGTCTTGGTGGAACATTCACATTAACCCTCGCCAGGCCAGGGGGCGGTTGATGCAATCCCCTAAGGTGTTTCCCAAATAGCGCAAAAACGATGGCGCCTTATGGTGAAATAAATTCCGTCGCA